TTATTTTATGCTGTCACTGAACTAAAACTCCCAGTAATGAGACAGGTTTTCTCTTTGCTTGTCAAGGCAGACTGAAGTTCTTTGCAAACATCTAGTCCCTGAAACCCTAGAGAATAGCAATGCACCAATGGCTGTGGACCAGTATTAAGGGGAGAGGGAAGTGGAATCTTAGAAAGAGTTCGAACCAATCCAACCTGAACTTCAGACACTAGGCCTCTGACTAAAGACAACCTACATTGCCTGTCTCATTTCCTTCCTTCCTTTTCAAATGGCAGCAACAAGAAAGAAGAAACGAAGAGGCTCAATTACCTTTCTAGAGTCAAAGAGAATAAAGCTGAATGGAGTAAGGAATAATACATGAGAAAGCCTCTGAATCCCCATGGCTCATTGAAATCAGCTCTTGCTCCTTTGTGTGGAAGGAGAAAAGAGCTGAGGTTTCTCCCTCAGATCTGGGCTGGCTGAGACACTAACACCTGCCTAGACATCACATTGCCTGCTACCTCTTTGTGCTATCTCTAACAGCCCCAATTCTTCTTCAGATGAAAAAGTAGGTCACAGTCTTTCAGGATTTCAACCAAAGAGTGTCTCACAGAAAATTTCAGCGGGAGTCATCTTCCCTACCATTGGAGGGCTGGCAGCGCCCTGCAATATTTATGAAGTGTTATTACATTATGGTCACTCCCATGCTGCCATACATCTGTCAATGTATGTGGAGCTACCGATCACTGAAATCCATCAAACGAGGACACAACCTCACGTCTTGAAGTCAAATCTCACAGAAGCAATACTCATGAATTCTCCTTATTAAGTTTCAGTCTTTGTATGTAAATGAAAGTATTAAAACAATGAGATACAGATCAAAGTCTTCATTTTGGTCTCTCGCCTCAGATTTAATTTAAAAGTCTTAAATTATGCAGCGAATTGCATCTCTTTCTTCTTATGGCTGTTTAAAATGTATTTAATTATCTTCCCTAACATGCAGAGACTACTTCTGCCTAGCAGTCCTCTCAAACGAATGCATTCCAAATCGTTTCGCTGAGTTCTTAAGAATAATTAGGCCCTTCACCATCCATCCTGTGCCTTCAGGGCCTTGCATTGGGTTTCTCTGGGAAGCCGAGTGATTGCCTTGAACGTCTATAGGCTCATTAGGTGCTCATTAGTGGTCCAGAGGACATCCATCTTCAGCAAGTCTCCAGACAGAGTGATGCCACTCCTCACCGAATGCTTGAGTCTCAGAAAACACTTTTGATCAGCTTCCTGAAATTCAGGTGTAATTGGAAAGCAGCTTCTTTGACCGAGTTTTATGGACTCCTCCTCTCCCCTCTAGGTTGGTCCCTTGATCAACTGTTCTTTTTCCTTAAAGAACCAATGATGCATGAATGCATTGGTGGTAGTGGTGGTGGTGGTGTGTGTGTACGTGTGTGTGTTTTCCTCTTGAGTCTCAAATGGAATCAAGGCTGGCTCCTTTACCCTATGACTTCTAATGTAGGTTCTCTCATTAGAATATATTGGAGAGAAGCATAAAAGCAGCAGGAATGGGGTTCCTGACAAGGGACCTTTTTATCAACTTCAATAGTTATATGGTTCTTGGAGTAATCCACCAGATGAGCCATGCTGTGGGATTTGAAGGCTTTAGTTACGGAGTCACTTTTGTCACTTAGATGTGGCGGGTGGCCTCACATGCTATTTGCAGGAAGGGGTTCTGCTTCTGGCACATGTGAAAATCTGCAAAATTCTGACTTGGGTACATCTTTTTGTACATGGAGATACAAGCTAGCATCTCTGTGCTTAGCCTTTGATTATCTCTGGTCAATAAGAAGTTTTCTTCTTGATTCTGGTTTTAGCAAGGTTTTCATTGATAATCTTGTTAGAATTAGAACATAGGCTAGTAAAGAATAAAGGAGGGGATTTAGGTTTCAGAGCAAGACTTTAATAGCTTTTGGATGTTATTCAAATTATAAGCAAATTATATTCAAAGTTTGGGCTTTGTGACCACTCTGGAAGCCTATCCAAACCCAGACACATTGAGTTCCTAACAATCTCTGGGGCACAGTGAGTAGAGATGCTAGAGCTGCAACCAGGAATGGCATGACCCCTACCTTAGTAATTATTTATAATTTATTGGGGGGGTAAATATTATTACAATATAATGTAGTAAATTAGTTTTCATTTTGCTTTAAATGGACACAAAATATTTATGTTCTATTTCATGTGGTGAGTTTTGTTTTAATTTAAAACTTGAAATAGCAGAGGTCTTAGTTAACCCAAAACATGATTTCCACAAACTGAACTATGTATACTCATGAATGAAAAGTACATGGTTTGAAATCAAAACTTAATGAAATATTTGTTAAAGCACAAATAAACACACACACAAGGCTTACTATTTGGTGGGTCAGGTGACTCCTCAGGTCTCTAATGCTTTGGTTGGCATGCACACGAGATGGAACCTACATGGAGGGGTTTGTATGCAAGTCACTGGGGGCAAAGAAAGGAGGGTGGCATCAGCCTCTAGCCCAGCCTAGCTCTACGGACAGACACAAGCCTTGTAGGAGAAAGAGAAACCATGAGGCACAGGCACAATCATTGGTGCCAAAGTGACAAATATACCGACGTGGAGAGGTGAGTCTCCTGCCCACTTCTGCATTAATCACACTGCAGTGTCATAGCAGAGGGTAGCAGAGACCTCCTGGTCCCTCTGGCACTGGAGGACCTTCTGCTTTAGGGCATCAGAAGCATGGCATCTCTCCCTACTGTTAGGAAGAATAGGCGTGAGGTAAGGGGGCATATATAAGACATTATATTCAAAGTAAACTGAGGAGCTTCAAATTCAAATGAGAAACTGACTCTTAGAGATTTTGAGGAGGACATGGAAATTTTATGTATTGCCAGTGACATATGTCAGGGATTTTTGGTTCTTTTTTTTCTTCTAGATTAAATTTTAAAAATATTATAGCATGATTAAACTCCTTGAGTGCTGCCTTCATATACCGTGCTTTCTGATATCTTTAAAATAGATCGAACGGGTGCCAGATACACAGTAGCCAATCAATGACGGCATGGTCTTGCCCAGAGGGGGGACACCCAAGAGAGGATTTGACTTCTCTCTTGGCTTAAATAGTTTTTTAACAAACTGATCCCAAGCATGAACCTTTTCAGACAATGAGGGGGAAATCTTGGTTTAGATATGGACTAGTGTCTCAGAATACAGGAGCAGCCATAGTACAGCCAGGCTAGGACACTGATCGTTTTACCTCTTCTTTCTATTCCTTGATCTCTGTCACTCCCTGTCCGCAGCCAAGCATTGCAAGGGAGCCTTACCAACCACATAAAGTTCTTTCCCAGAAAATGGTTCTTTCCACCATAGAAACACCATGGATAGGCAAGATACCATGGAACCTGGATTTGTGGTATTAGGTAAGTTACTTTTCTTTTCTGTGCCTCAGCTGGTCATCTATAAAATGACAATGATGATAATCTCTACTCATATAGGGCTGCTGTGAGATCTAAATGAGACAATCGGTGACAGCATGCACAAACCAGACCACTGTCAGTGCTCAGTTAAGTGTGGCCTATCTGAATTGTCCTGGTGCCATATTTCAATGCTATCCAGCTACTCAGGGACATCCTGTTTCTCTTTATTCTGCATACATTATCACATGCATCGTCCATGCTTACGTATATAATCCAGAGATGGAATCCAATGAAAACAAAAAAAGCCAAAAAACTGATGAACAAAATAGATCCAGAGACATGGAAGCAAGGGAAAGACTGAGGAGTCTCAGAGAGAAAAGTGGAGGGGGGGGCTGGGAAGGGATTAACCAAATAATTTATATGCCTAAATGCATAACCCAAGGACACAGACAATAGTGAGGTGAAGCCTGGGAGGGCAGTAGGAGCCAGGAGGAGGGGGTCAATTGGAAACAGGGGGCCATCTGTAATACTTTCAACAATTCAACAATAAAGATAAATTTAAAAAATAATCTAGAGATCAATAGAGAAACTGAAGTTGTTTCTGCAAGAGGAGCTGGTGAATCATTAGCACAGAACCCTATGGTCAGACATGGGGTCCCCAGGGCCTCCTGATGTGGGCGCAGGCCTCTGGGCTTGGTATTCTGCACCGGTTGACAAGAGCATCAGGGGCCGAGTCTGCCAGCAAAGGCAGCAGATTTCCTCCCTGCTGTTGTAGCTGTACCCACTCAACTGGAATGACCTGACTTACTTTTTTTTCCTGTCTTGTGCCCAGAAGGCATGCATTTACATATCTTAGAAGCAGATTCCCCAATCTGTTCCCACTTCACTCAGCCAAGTTTGAGGTGCCGATCATCTTACAAGGAAAGCAAAGCTGTACAGAGGAGAGCCTGGCCTCTGCCCCTGGAGGGTGCACTCCATTTGTACAAAGGCTGGAGCTGACCAGGAGTGAGTTCTTGTTTCAGATCTGGTTCTACTGTGTTCTTAGAAATAAAACAGAAACCTGAGCTTGCCTTTCTAATCCTTAGAGACTACTTGCTATTTTGCCCTTATCACTTAGATATTGTCCAATAACCCAAGGATGGGGGGGGGAGCACAGAATATCATGCTGCTTCTCTGTGCTTCCCTTCCCGCTGGAAGGTGACCTTGTCAGTCCCAGCTGCCTTGGTTGGCCCCGAAACCAACTGTGATCATCCCATCCCTGTGAGTCCATCAGAGCAGTTGAGCCAACACTTTCTGTTTGGACTTCCACGGGGAATCTGAAATCTGACCTCTTACACAGTGTGGTGTATGAACCGGCAAAGTTCTTGAGGGAAATACTGCAATGAAAATCATTGAAAAAATGTCTCAGAGAAGATGAAATGACAACCACAGAAACAATAACCAAAAGCAGAATACAATAAAATTTAAATAGTAACATTAAACATATGTAAATAAAGCCCCAAAAGATGTATATAAACTAAGCCATGATTTCTTGGGGAAAAATCACTGGCTCTGGAAGGCAGAGGGGAGAGGGGACTCGGTCCTACCTCTTCCAATTGCACCATGAGAGTAACGTTGTGCCCTTGCTCTGCTGTCAACTTTCCATCCGCCGTGACGATCCGGAGACCCCGTGGGGCCTTCCCTGGACACTTCTGTGGTTTGGCCGTGTACTGTTCTCTCACGCCATCCGTGCAGTTATTGGAAACCACCTTCCTATACCTACATGGAGAAGAGCTCAAGTTGTAATCCAGCTCATTATAATTCAGATCACACTCCCAATGTTTTCAACTGAACCTGCTGCCTAGCCCCGAGGGCTATCAATAACTACATTTCATGTCGCTCTGGGGATTATAAAGCACCCAACAGGAAGATGGATCATCATAGCAGCATATTGGACCTATTACTAGCACTTTCATATGCTTCTTTCATTCATTTAGTCAGTCAGTAAATCATTTCACTTCGCGCTGTGGGAAATGCATAGCAGTAGAAGACATGGTCCTTGCCCTCACTAAGTTTATAATCTAGTTGAAGAGATATATGGATAATCTAGGAGATACTCCAAAGGTTATATAATTAAGGGTTAGAATGAGTAATATATATCACAAGGGAATTTGCAATTCAGAAAAAGAATAGATTGTTATTGATGACATGGTTTAACATTAGATCTTACAGAGCATGATATAGTAATGGCATAGTTCAGAAAGCTGGCTAAATTTGATCATTTCTATTCAATATTTCATGTGGGGTTATACTGGCTAAATCATTGAAACTTCATATTAAGGAGACTTTACTCTGCAGATTGAGTCAATCCTTCCTACACTTATTTCTTCTTATTTTCGCTTTAATAAAATAATAAATTATCCTATAAGTTTACTCCATACAATTGATCAGAGTCATAATAAATTAAATCTGTGGTTTCAGAATGATTAACCTTTAAGGCTTTGTAGGTTCAGTGTTACCTATTCATCATCTTTTTTGTGTGGTGGTCCACAGTAACCATTTTATGTATTCATATATAGGATGCCCTTCCAAAAATGTATACACATACATTTTTTTGATAGCTCAATCGATGCTTCTTTCTTTTCAGATGTAACCCATTGCAATGAAGAATTATTCAAAGTGTGTATCCATTTTGGGGGGACACCCTGTATTTGATTACCTAAGATTAGTGTCTACAATTAGTGGTAGAGCTCAAACTGGAAGCAAAGCCCAAGATCTTCCACTCTTCAAGACCAGGTATGAAGGGCCAGATAGTAAGTGCTTCAGCTTTGTGGGCTATATGATCTTTGTGACAAGCGTTCAACTCTTTGGTTGTAGCATGAAACTGAACATGGAATGAATGCAGCTGGGTTAAAAAACAACAACAACACCTTTATTTACAAAAACTGGCAGTGTGCTGGATTTGGCTCAAAGGCAATTGTTTTCCAATCCCTTCAGAGCTAGCCAAAGTCCTTTCCTCAGGTTCCGAGTCTCAGAATTGACTACCTAAGCCCATGGTTGAGAAAGTCAAATTAAATACTGTGTGAGAAAGTGCTGTGACCACTATGTGTCACTACAAGGTCAATTATTAATCTTTAACTTACCTTGTAAGGTAGTCATATGAATTAAATGGATTAATGTACACAGAGTACTTAAAACCACCCTGACAATTAGCAAGTGCTGGTGAAATGTTATTTCCATTTAATAATAATAATGTTACCAATTATTTTTTTAAAATATATTTTATTGATTTTTTACAGAGAGGAAGGGAGAGAGATAGAGAGTTAGAAACATTGATGAGAGAGAAACATCGATCAGCTGCCTCCTGCACATCTCCCACTGGTGATATGCCCGCAACCCAGGTACATGCCCTTGACCGGAATCGAACCTGGGACCCTTCAGTCCGCAGGCCGACGCTCCATCCACTGAGCCAAACTGGTTTCGGCCAATTATTTTTATTTAATATTATTATTTGACCTGTTAACAACCTTCATGTCTTCCAAATGTCCTTAGGATAAGTCCCAAATGCCATAAGCTTCTGCCAGAAGCCCTCCACAAGCTAACTTCATTCTAATTTTCTGGACACGGTCTCCCCCACAGCTCATTCTGCTCCAGCCACACCTCTGTTTTCAATCCTATTGAAAGTATGTATTTTCTTTTGCTCTTTCTGCTTCTGTGCCCTCCTGTATGTTCCATCACTATCATGCTTTCAGTTACATCTTATCACCTGTCTTTTCCTGACTGTGATAGTAAAATAGTAAGATGTAAGAAGTTCATATTTCTTTAAAATATATATTTTTATTGACTTCAGAGAGAATGGGAAAGGGAGATAGAGATAGAAACATTAATGGTGAGAGAGAATCATTGATTGGCTGTCTCCTGCATGCCCCACACTGGGGATCTAGCCTGCAACACAGGCATGTGCCCTGAGCAGGAACTGATCTGTGACCTCCTAGTTCATAGGTTGACGCTTAACTAATGAGTCAGGCTGGCCATCAGAAGTTCATTTAAAAAATATATATTGATTTTTAGAAACAGAGGAAGGGGGAGGGAGCGCAAGAGAGAAATATCGATGTGAGAGCAGAACACTGGTCAGCTGCCTCCTGCACATCCCCTACTGGGGATGGAGTCCGCAACCTGGGCATATGCCCTACCTGGGAATCAAACCGGCAACCTTTCAGTGCATGGGACAAAACCCAATGAACTGAGCCACACTGGCCAGCACAAAGTTCAGATTTAGAAAGTTCTTATTGCATTGTAGTTTAGTCGTAGGGCTAAATTCTTAACAAGACTTTTCTTACTCATCTTCAAAATATCCCTAATAAGGAAGGGATTCTTACTCCTGATATAGGGATGAAGATGTTAAGATTCAAAGAAGTTAACCCGTTTTCTCAAGATGACATAGCCAGGACCCCAGACAATTTGTCTCTGGAACACATCTGCTTTTTACTGCTGCGCTGTACCTATTCTTTAAATGGGGCAAGATCATCCTTCCTCTAAACTCCTTAAGGAATCCTTCTGATTGACTTGATAGGAATCATGTATGCCTTGCAGGACTGTCTTCCTGTCTATGACTGTGAACTTTAAGCTCCTTGAGAGCATCCTTGTGCCCTGCATATGCAAGCTTGATCATCAGGAGGTCCACACTGGGATGTGGTTCCATTTTAAATATTGAAATAGCCCTTCAGGCACCTCACCCACCAACCCACCTGTGCGGATCCCTCTCTTTGGAATCCCTGCTTCTCCTTACAATTCAGCAACTGAAGGGTTCACACCTAGCACAAGTGGCAGCCTCAAACCCCCACTCCTTCACCGAGATCTCTACTCCTTGGATACCAGAGCATAGTGGCATTCTGGTACCAGCAATGGTAGCAAAAAAATAACTGTCAAAGTCACATAGTGAATATGGCATCCCACTGAATTTAACTGTGCCTCGGTAACTTCCTGTTTGTGAGGTGAGGCACTACTAGGCAAATGAAAGGCAGATTACAATTTTTAATCACTTAGCATCCAAGCACACCTGTGACTGTCTTGGCGAGCAGCTATAGAGGCATGGGCTCACCATCGCCACTGTCATCATCATCTAGGGAACATTCCTTTTGTTTGTCTGGGCTCTGCCCCATCATTGCCTCAGGCTTTCCTGAATCCTGTAGCAACAGGAGTTCTGCTTAAATCCAAAGCACGGATCCTTCCCCCTGGGATTCTGCCACAGAGAAGACTTGGTAATTTTTTTAAACGCTCATTAAAAACCATTCTGAAACTATTTCATTTCCTGGATGAAAATGGAATCGCATTAGCCCGACCAGACCTGTCCTGGAAATTTAGAAGAAAATTGTGCATAAATACACAGTTAATTTACTCAAGTAAGCACACACCTGCTTTTTGCAATACAGAATGCTCCTATTTTCATACCCGCAGCTGTCCCTGGGTCTGAGTTACATAAATGAATAATGCATTTAATATGTTATTAAATGGGGCTGCTGCCTCCACAATAACAAGGCAACTTATGATTATGTTGGACCTAAGCTCTGAATATTGCTGGGATGCATTTAGTGGATAAAGCACTCTTCAATCTACCAAGAAGAAAAGCGATCTCTAATGGCAGGGGAGTCTGTACAATTACTGGAAAGGAAACATTCTGCAAGTGTGCCTTTGATATTACCGACCACTCATCAGTAGATAGTGTCTTATTACTTCAACAACCCCGATTCAACTATTCTCTTCTTATCTTGATACTCCTGTCACCTTTTCCTTTTTACCTCTACCTTCTTTGATTCTGCTTCTGTTATTTCTGCCAGTTTTTAAAAAAGATGAAGGCCATAGTTTCTCTTTGTGAGAATAAAACTGTCATTTTATTATTTAGCAGGCTTTTTTTAATCTTGCGATTTGGGGTGGAATACAGATGTTTATGACTATTCAGTCTATGCTGAGGTGACAAAATAGTCATGCTCAGCCCATAGAAATCCTGTCCGCTCTTTAGGATCACTGGGAGGAACTTTTAAAATAAAATGAATGATGCCCTGGCTGGTGTGGCTCAGTTGGTTGAGCATCATCCCATGCACTGAAAGGTCACCGGTTCCCACATGCCTGGGATGTAGCTCAATCCCCAGTGTGGGGCATGCAGGAGGCAGCAGAACATTGTTTCTCTCCTCCCTTCCTCTCTCTAAAATCAATAAAAACATATTTTTCAAAAGCAATAAAATAAAAGAATGTCAAGAGAACTCCTCCAGGAATTATGATTTAACTGAGAATTCTGGGTATCTATGTGTTTTGTTTTTAAGTCCCCCTCATGATTCTAGCATGCATACAGATTACAAATCACTACCCAAGTGGTTAAAATGTAGGATCAAATTGCCTGAGTTAAAATGCAGGTTCTTACATACCATATGAACTTGGGCAATTTACACAATCTCTCTCCAATATAAAATAGGGGGAAATTACAGGATTTTTTCATGCATCTCCTGGGAGGACTAAGTGAGATTATGAATCCAATAGGGCTGAGGTTAGAGTCTGGCACACTGTAAGAACTTAACAAATATTAAAATATCAAAAGCTAGTAAAAATCATTAGTATTTACATAATTAAACATTAACTTGTTATTATCCAGCAAATTCCCTAAAAACGGAAACTATACTTTAAATAGAAGCTACGCTATTATCACCAAGATTATATCAAGATCAAATGTGTCCATGTCAATTCTTTTCTTAAAATCATTCAAAACTTACTGTGGGCTTATTCAT